GTTCTGCAAAACTCATCTCCAGCTAATTGACAGCTTCCTAAGTACTGCAAAGAAAATGCCAACATCACATCTCTGAAATAAGTACAAACCACACACGATACTTTTCTGTTTTAGAAGCCTTTGGATGGTAGCATTTTCTGGAGTCCAGTGAACTTTGATGAGAGACGGTAAGAAAGGAATATTTTCATAAACATTTTCTCCTTTTCTCCTTTGAATCAATGGGGTGTCATTAAGCCAAAGTGAATCAGCAGATGCTGCAAAGCTCCATTTGACTGGAAATTCACACATGCCAAGTATATCATGTTCTGTAGCCTGGGAAAAAAATATTCTTTTCTAATTGACAATTGGAATTTAGAAGTCAGTATACTCCAAAACTATAGATCTGTTACTTTGGTCCTCTTAAAATTGTCTCTGCTGAGCTATGATTTAAGAATTTATCACATGTAGATTTAACAATATGTCACAGCATATTTTCATATTCTTTAAATAAAATTTCTACTATGTACATTATTTAATGCACTTTGTTTATAGAACCATTCAAAATCCACCCAGAATTCATGGCCAGGAAAAGCTTTTTTCTCCTAGTGACCTGGTGTGATGCCTCCTACGTGAACAGCATTTACTTCAATTTGTTTAATTTATTTTTAGTTCTGTGCGAGATTTAAGATGTTTTGTTTTGTTTTTTAAAAGGTTCCGTGCTTAAATACATTTAGGAAATCCTGGATAAATGCAGTTAATTGTGATGCGACTGCACATTTATACCAAGCTGTTCGCACTCTGATGTACACTGCAAAGTTCTCCTGAAAAACGCAGGCTCTCCCAATTTTTTTTAGGCAAGAAAACTCTTTTTCTTGAAGTACAAAACAACTTTTCAGGTTTAGAATTCTATGAGACATTCTTGCAGAAATACTATATAATAAGCATTTTCCCCTCTTTTTCTTGGCTGCATTGAAGCTCATTGAGATTCTATGGTCTGAATCTCGTGTGTGTTCTGACTATTCTTCATGATGCGGGGAGTGGGTGCCTGTGGTAGGATTGGCAGGACACTACCCTAGAGCACTTTGCCACTTATAATTGGTATGCAGTTGGGAATCCTTGCAAACCTTAATTTTCTGGGGTATAAATTGGCAGTAAAATATCTACCTCATGAAGTTTGAGAATGTGAAGTTGCAACAATAATGCCATGTACATAATGTTCATTCAAAAGTTAGAAGCCACTATTTACATTTTATTCCATTTTACTTTTACTTATGTATAATTATTTAAAAATTGTAGCATTTTTTTTCAAAGCTGTTTCACATTTTTATAAGGAAAATGGAAGAACTAAGTAAGTGATTTAAATACTTAAGATATTTAAGCCATTTTAAATAGAAAATACTGTTGGGGCTAGTTTTTTAATTAGCATTTTGCCATATTTAAGAAATCAATCATATTTTTTATTCTGGAAAGTATTCAAGAATAAATATATTGTCTATGCATTTATGCTCAAAAAAAGTCAGAGATTTCAAAGCTAATTAAAAAAAGTGTGTGTGTGTGTGTGTGTGTGTGTGAGTGTGTGTGTGTATGGCATTTTATTTCTAATGTAGGCCAACCCTAAATGTTGGGTAACTCCATTCATTCATTCATTCAGTAAACACTTACGTAACTGGCATAGCCAATTTGCTAGCTTACTCTAAAAGTATCACCTCTCTCTTTATTTCTTGCTATACATTTATCTAACTACCTATCTGCTTGAGAATTCTAAAGGCTAATCTTGGAAAAATTAAGGCATGAAGCAGAAATGTTGAAATGCACAGTTAATCCATAATTGGTTCCCCAGTGACATCACACCAATCAGGTCTCTGGATGGTCCATTACTCAAGTCAATCATCAAAAAATGACAAGCAAACCTACACCTCACACCATTCCTGCACATTGTTTCCATGCCACCCTTCCCTTTAAGGCTCCATTAGCCAGCCTGAGAATGCAAAATACCTTTTTGAGACTTGGGTCTGGCTGTCTTCTAAGTGGCTAGCACTTGAATAAAGCTGTTTTCCTTCTACCCAGATTTGCTTGTCCTGTATGTGGCTTTTCAAGCAGTGAGCAGCCAATCCTGAGTTTGCTTACAGTGACCTGGTGCCTAGCATAGGGCTACATGCCTCAGGCTATCTAGCCGGCCCACTATCCAACAGAAGCAGCATTTGGATGTAGCAACATGCCAGGGCTTACCTGTTCACACTGCTGGGCAGAGCAGCAATGGCTCTTGCTGCTTCTAGAGAGCTGACCTGGCGGCTGGGATTCCAGGGATGTCCCAGCAGCTGCCAAGATCTCTTTTTCTGAGGGATCCCCCTTGTCTCCCCACTGTGGTATCAACTGCCTTCAACACTGCATTGGTGCGAAGAAAATGGGGTCTGGGAAGCCGACAGGCCTCAGGAGGGCAGAAGCTGAACTGGTGTGCATACCAGAAATCCTGTCTCTGCCTTTTGAGTTTTGTGCCATTTGGACCTAATATGATTAGTTTGCGGTACTGATTGCTTTAAGGTACAATTTATTAACGTTCCTGTGTCCCTCTAGGAATTTGCTTGAGAGGACTCCCTTTGTTTGCTTTGATCTTTGTATGTTTGTGCCCTTCCGTTCCCTACCCTAGGAATGGGTGGCTCAATTTCTATTCCACCTAAGACCTCGTGAGGCCATCTCTTGGCTGGTTAAAAAGCTCATGACTACAAACCCATGACAAATATAAGACTAATTTAAGATTATTGTTTAAGGAAAACACCTACATTTTCTGAATGATTAGCAAAATGCCCTTGTGTTTACCTTTAACGTTCTTACATTGGTGAACATCTGATGTTCACAGGCTTTAAAAATGGTTAACAAAAAACATGTTTTAATACAAAATTAATTATAAAAATTTCATGCATTAAAAATAAGTTTGTCTAATTCAAAAGTTATCTAAAGATTAAAATTATGGACGTAAGAAGTTATTTATTAAAAAAAATCTTATTAACTTGGCTATAATTTTAAAATTTACCTATCAACATATCTATCTACATGATAGTCTTTCTGAAGATTGGTTCCTTGCATTAAAACAAAGTTTTCTTAAGGAATTAAGTTGCTCTTAATAAAATTACAAGGGGTTTTTCTTTTTAATTCTATACCCTGTTTCTTTTTAAAACCTTTCAGATTCATATCTCAGAAGTTCAGTATTCGCTGCGTTCAGCTTTTTCTCTCCTTGAGAAGGGTGGAGACAGTAACTCTGCCCGTCAACTTTTTCTTCAGCTTCTGGAACTTATTTTCCTTTAGTTTTTACTGTTGTTGTGGTCTGATAATAAAATGTTTTATCTTAAAGTGTCCAGAAAAGCTATGTTTTCCTCCAGTATAACTTCATTCTGTACTCTTGGCTTTTCTTAATATGTCTGAATTTTTCTTTTTCTTTCATGTTTTTGAGACTGTCTGATTCTGTCACCCCAGCTGGAGTGCAGTGGCATAATCTCAACTCACCACAACCTCCACCTCCCAGGTTCAAGTGATCATCCTACCCTGCCTCCCAAGTAACTGGGACTGCAGGTGCATCCCACCAGGCGTCACTGACATTTTTTTTTTTTGGTAGAAATGAGATGTCACCACGTTTTCCAGGGTGGTCTTGAACTCCTGAGCTCAAGCGATTTGCCCACCTCAGCATCTCACGTCTAAATTGTTCAATACAATTAAGAAGCTTCTCGGCCGGGCGCGGTGGCTCACGCCTGTAGTCCCAGCACTTTGGGAGGCCGAGGCGGGTGGATCACAAGGTCAAGAGATCGAGACCATCCTGGTCAACATGGTGAAACCCCGTCTCTACTAAAAATACAAAAAATTAGCTGGGCACGGTGGCGCGTGCCTGTAATCCCAGCTACTCAGGAGGCTGAGGCAGGAGAATTGCTTGAACTCAGGAGGTGGAGGTTGTGATGAGCCGAGATCGCGCCATTACACTCCAGCCTGGGTAACAAGAGCGAAACTCCGTCTCAAAAAAAAAAAAAAAAAGAAGCTTCTCATGCAATTACTAAGAGTCATGTATTTACTTGCTGTACTCATAACCTTGAACACACTCTCCCTGTGTTTGATGAAATCCAAGTACTTCTTTTATAAGGTTTGACTACCAGGGTACCTAAAGGGACTTCTCAGAAGGAAAAACAGTCACACTGCAGAATTTTCTTTGCCTTTTTGGAAAAAATAAAACAAAAAACCCCACAAGATTTTATGTTTTATGCTATGTTGTCTTTATTCAGCTTTTGATACTTAGAAAAAAAACATGATTTAAGAGGATTAAAATTTTCACATCCATATAACCTTCTGTATTGCCTTTAAATCTTGTTTATCACTTTGGTGAAATGAGTAACTGATTTTACAGTGACCTATGATTCTATTCGATCAAATGTTTTGAGACTTTTAATATCTTTGACAAATATCCTCAAAATCAAAATTCTAAATTAGGTATTTGGCCACTTATTTACTGGGGACTTATTAAAGCTATAAAAACTAATCACTGCAAGGTTGTAGAATCTTTTTACAGCTTCCAATCAAGTCATGGACTCCAGTATAACCACCTTCAGCCTCTCGTAAAGATCTTTATCAGGTACTATTAACTCATCTTGTGCTGTTGAGTTACAGGCTTTGACTGCTGGGTAGGCATATCTCATCTAAAGGAGTCTCCAACTCCTGCCATTATCTGACACCAAACTCAGGCTTAACCAAATCTCATCTTAGACCCAAGCAAAGACATCAATCAAAGTAACCTGTTTTCATGAGCACACAGGGACAGGCCTCTGTTCAAAAACATTAAGACTCATTTAATAATTTTGCCTCCATCTGAATAAATATTTATTCTGTGTCTTGATACTAAGTAATTTATGTGTTTAGCTACCTGTGAGCTTCCTTTCCCGTCGTTTCTAAGACTAGGCAGGGATTACCACCTTTGTGTTTACATTGCTGATTCTTTATGTTTTATTTTACCTTCAGAATTTAAAACTATTTAATCCCTCCAGGCCCAAGAACTACAATGGAAAAGGTGGATGTGTGAGATTGCAAGATTCTGAGGGCTCTGAAGGTTAATGAGTGCCTGCTCGCCTCTGTTCCCATCTGGCCTGAAACTGGTAATTGGCTGTAATTCTTTTGACTCTAAGCCCCTTGGCCATAGGGGTCTCCCCAAGGGACATGAGAGGTGGGGGGCAGGTAGCATACTACCCCAGCATGAATATGGAACAAAATAAATGCTTGGCCACTGATACTGCTTCTGGTATATTTTGACCAAAACCGGGGAAACAAACACTAAAAAGATAAAATCCTAAGCCCCCAGTGACTAAATGGACCCTTCCTTTTTGACCAAGGAAATCCCCTGAAAAATTAGTTCAAGTTATGAAGGGCAGGGAAGGGTTGAAAGTGCCTTGTTATATCCTTCCCCATTTAAAGTTTAGACACAGCTAAGCAGCATTAACATCTAAATAAAGATCATAAGACTGATGAGACAGATTCTTTGTGACAATAACATACCAAATAACAAGCAGGAGTTAAGACCATGCCAGGCAAGGGTTAAGTCACACACTCCTAGGCTTAAAAAGCACACTCTGTTCTAACTACCTCGAGGTTTATCTTTTTCTCAAGCAGCCAAACAAGTCCTGGCCTCAAGATAAGCAAAATTAAAACAATTTACATGTCTTCTAGATGCTAACTGACCCCCATTCCCTATTCCGCCAGCTATAACTGCAGCTTTGATTAGGCAAAGACTGATTTCAGTGACTTTCTCCTGATAAAAAGACCGCAGACCATGGTCTAATTCTGGCTGGTTTACAGAAATTAAGCACTTTTGTAATTAGGTCTATTTACGTCCTAAATAGATCTATTGATGTACAAGACCTAGTTGTAATATATTTTGACGCTAAGTCTCCATCCCAAAATAAGCATGGGCCATAAGTTATATAGATGTTTATTCAATACACATGTGTCAGGACCACCTTCATAAATATTCACAGCTCCTCCTGCAACCTGTTAAAATGTGCGTTTAATCAACCTGTTGTGATGTCTCCATAGGAGCTCTGAGTCCAGTTAACAGTGGGAAACAAACTTACTTTCTCATTGATATGAAGGTAATATATTTTATAGTTAACACATGTCCATCCCCTGATTGAAAACAAAACAAAACAAAAACTGATGATAATTGCAGAAATGTCGAAGAAAGGTACGAGTCATCCTTTTCCTACAATGTTTAGATTATCATCTTAGAGACCACAGTAAACACACCAAAAAACCCTGAATGTTAGGTGTATATTCTAAATAAATTAGAAAACATCTCTGCCCTCTAGGACATGCACAAACAAATTAATGCAATGTTCAACCCTATGAAGTTACTAAACCAGTGGCTCTCTTTTTGCTTGGAGTCAAGACCCTCTTGGTAAAAAAAAAAAAAAAAACCTCATCATTCTGACTATATTTTCAGGAATAGGCATACATCTTTGCTGTGGGTTATACTGCTGCTATACAATATGCATGGGGCTACAGGATCACTCTACCCAGACATTCTTACCTCCTCGTCCAATGATGCTTTAACATGTTACCCCTGTGAGCCCAGGAACACAGAAATATTTCAAACTCCAAGAAAGTAACTTCTGTTCTTCAGGCACCTAGCAAAGCCCACAGCCAGCAGGAAGTAATCAAAATGAAGTCGGCACCCTGAAATCCCATAGAAATGGAATGGACATTGACAATGGGGAGTTTGTAACCTATATGGCGAGTTTGCTATCTCACTCTAAAAGTAACCCCTCTGTGGCTTTGTTTCCTGCTACATTGAACTTCCTGTTTGTTTGAGAATTCTAAAAGTTAATCTTGCAACAATGAAGGCATGAATTGGAAATGTTGGTTGCAATTTTCTCCCTTCTGAAAGGAATTTGATGTACAGTTAATTCATAATCTGATCTTTGCCAACTGACCTGGTTACCATTTTTATACATTTTCCTTTCCCAAAATATCCATAATGGGAATCATCCATTATGTAGCCTTTTCAGATGGGTTTTTTCCATTGACATCATAAATGTGAACCTATCCACATTTTCACATGGCTGAGAGCTCATTCCTTTTTACTGATAAATAGTATTCAATTTTATATGCATATACTATTGTTTATCTAGACTTTCAATTGAGAAATAAAATCAATGAGGAGTTAATTTCTATACGAGAAGTTGATTTTAATGATTTTTATTTTTTCTCTCCCTATAGATGTGCACTTGCCCCATGACCACTTGGTGAAAGTGTAGTGTGCTGTTCTGACTTTGTCATAAACCAAGTGACCATATATGTGTGAGCTGTTTCTGGGCTCTTCATTTATTCCATTGATCTATTCTCCCATCCTTTTATCAACACCACAAAATCTTAATAATATAATTATCAAATGATTCTGAAAGTCAGCTTTTGCAGAACCTGCTTCCTCTACAAGAAGATCGTTGTTATTCTTGGCTATACAAATACAATACCATATCAATTATAGAATCATCTCATTATGTCTGTCTGTCTCTCTCTCTCTCTCTCTCCCTCCTTTCTCTCCCTCTCTCTCCTTTCTCTCCTTCCTTCCCTCTCTCTCTCACTCACACACACATACACTCACACACATGTGCACACATACATGCACACGCACGCACAACACACACATACATTACAAGGATGTTTGTTACCTCACTAAATCTACACAAATTTGAAGAAACATCTTTTTAATGTTGTGTCTAAGTATAACACGATATTTAGATATTCTTTAATTCATTTCAGTAATGTTTTATGTATTTTTTCCTAGAGTTCTTGTTTCTATTTTGTTAGATTTATTCCTTTGTATTTAACATAATTGAAGTTATAAATGGTTTGTATTTTACCTATTTGTATCTGAATATTTAAATCTGTAAACACCCTTTTAAATTTTGCTTTAACTTTATTCTAGAGGTTTTGATATGTAGTGCCCGGCACATGATAGGTCATCAATAAATACCTGTGGAATTCTCATTATGAGAGTTGAACAGGTCGACCTCTGAGTTCATTTTCAGTTATGACTATCTAGAATTTTTGGATGTTGCATTTATGTCAAGTTTTCCATTACATAGTTTAAAGTAGGAAAATGCCCAAGAACCATGGTTGCTTTTTGATATTTATGTAACTTCTTAAAACTTGCTATCACCATAGTGTTGTGGAAAAATCTCTTTTGAGCTTTTTCACTAATTAAACAAATGAGTCACCGAAGAGGCTGGTGAGTCACCTGAATGCAAGACTTATTCAGTTATGCAAATGAAAGATCTGATTAGAGTGGTAAATCCAAAATCTGAGCTCTAAAGTGCACCACTTTTAAATCCTCAGAGTGGTCACCAATTTACTAAAAGCTTGCTTATAAAATGGAGGACTACATCCATCCGTAGGTAGATTAAGGGCACATTTAATGCTTTTATGGTCATTTTATCTATAAGCTTTCTTTTGACCCACGCTCTTTTTTATAGCCAGGAAATCCACCATGAAGAATATTCACTTGTGATGTCCACAAAAGATTTGTCTTCTCTCATGCCATAAAGGTGTCCCAAACCACATTCATGGTTCTTCCTCGAATCACCGCTATCTGCTCAGTGACTCAGACTTCTGATTTCCTTGATATTCTGTTTAGTTAACAATGCAAATTAGTTTTTTAATTACACAGGTTTAAAAACAATAATGTGGCTAATTGAAGTATAAAGAAGTAAAAATCACTTGAAATTAGGCCATCTTGAAATAAATAATGTAAATATTTTGGTGATCATTTATTCCTGCACATCTTTATAAGTTTAAATTACCATCTTCATATAATACTTTCTTTTTTGTCTTGGACATGTTTTACTTTTTTTTTTTTTTTTTTTTTTGTGACGGAGTTTCGCTCTTGTTACCCAGGCTGGAGTGCAATGGTGCAATCTCGGCTCACCGCAACCTCCAACTCCTGGGTTCAGGCAATTCTCCTGCCTCAGCCTCTTGAGTAGCTGGGATTACAGGCACGCGGCACCATGCCCAGCTAATTTTTTGTATCTTAGTAGAGACGGGGTTTCACCATGTTGACCAGGATGGTCTCGATCTCTTGACCTCGTGATCCACCCGCCTCGGCCTCCCAAAGTGCTGGGATTACAGGCGTGAGCCACTGCGCCCGGCCCTCATGTTTTACTTTTTTATGGCATTACCCCTCTCTCATTCGTCATAAAATGCATCAGTATCTCCAAATCCCCAGGTACACAATGTTAACAGCAAGATGTGTAACCTTCTGTAATATTCTTTATCAAATGAATACATGGTCATATACAGCTTTCCATTTTCTTTTGTTTATTTTAAAATACAGAATATATCAAGAATTCTAAAACCCAGTAATAAGATAACAAACAACCCAATTTAAAAATGGCCAAAAAATTAGAACAGATATTGAAGAAGCTACTAAACGGATGACAAGCACATGAAAGAGATGCTCAGCATTATTAGTCATTATGGAAATAGAAAAATAAGAATTATATACTTACTAGAATGGCCAAAATTGAAAACAATGACTACGAAAGTGCTGGCAATAATGTGGAGGAACTGAAACTCTAATCCACAGTCTGTGGAAATATAAATTGTTACAATCACATTGGAAAACAGCTTAACAGATTCCTGTAAAGTTAAACATTCATTAACTGTGAATGAAGTTATTGAGTCTTCTCATTTGTGCCATCTGGAGATATTTTTCCAAGGAAATGAAAGTATATGTTAATGCAATGACACGTACAGAAATGTTCAAAGTAACTCTGTTTTTCAATATTTCAAAAGTCAAAGCAATGAAATGCTCATGAAGGAAATGGATAAACAAATTGGGTTGTGTCCACACAATGGAATACTACTCAGAAATGAAAAGAACCCTGATACAAGTCAAATGAATAAATCTCAAAATATGATGAAATAAGCAACACAAAAAAGAGTAAATACTCAATGATTCTATTGTATGAAATTTCAGAAAAGTTGGAACTAATCTATGAGAAGGAGAAAGCAGTGCTTGCCTGGAAATGGAAGGGGCTATGGAAGGGCAAGATGGAGAAATTACAAAGGGACATGAGGGGATTTTCAGAGGTGAAGGTTATGTTTCTTATCCCGACTCTGTTGTTGGTTTCATGGGTGCACATATATCTCAAAAGTTATCAAATTGTAACCTTCATTATGTGTAGTTTATTTAAATCTATTTAAACTGACAACAAAGTCAGATATAACTCCATTTAATTGCTGTATTATATTAAATTGTATGCATGTTTCATAGTTTAAATGCTTTTCTATTAATGTATATTTTTATGTTCCTAGTTTACCAACACACTAATTATTACACACACACACGTTTGTGTATATACACAATATATCGACACACAGGCACACATGGATAATAGCTTTATAATTGTTACCAATTTACAATATCTAGCACTATTTACACAACAGAGCTTTAAATTCTGGGAAACAGATTACCAAAACTAATGTTTTTTAAAATTTCTGTGGTATGATAGATCATGTTTCCAAAAGGTTGTCACAATTCATCACTCCTCTGCTAATACAACAGAGTACACTTTTAATTTATATGCTTAATAGATATCATTTCAAAAATATTTTGCCAAACAGAAGGATATAAAGTAATATATCATCATAACTTTAATCTGTATTCAATGAAAAATCAATAAGTAATAATGTATCTTTATACACATTGGGCATTAATATCTGTTATGTATTATTATTTTTCTAATTTCATGAAAAATAATTTCATTATTTTTCCTTTTGATTGCTTTAAAAATCCTATGTGTTCTTTGTATATTTTACGTATTAATCTTTTATCAATCTCTGTATTAGATAATCTTTTATCAATCTATATATCTATGTCTTAATATTTTTAAAAACTATATCACTTGTTATTGATTTTCTCTGGCATAATTTGTCATAATATTTTAAACTATATAGTAAAATATGTGCATTTTTAAAAATAATGGTTTTGAAGTTTCTTTCTTGGTTTGAAATATTTTCACAGACATTTAGGATAAAAACACTTTGAACTTTTCTTCTTATATAGTTATTAAGTTATAACTGATGTATAATGAACTAAAGGTGATAAGCATATAATTTTATAAGTACTGACTCTTCTATGACTTTATTTAGTATTTTTATTAGACTTATTTAGTTCAACATCAAGAGATAAAAATGGAATTATAACTTCTTCTTTTTATAGCCAACAAAACTTTCAAAATCCATAAAGTCCCTAGGAATAGTTTTAGCAGAAAAGTATACCTAAAAAATACAAATATAAACTTAAACAAAAACTGAGAAGTGAATACATGAAAAGACCTAGTATTTTCTTATAATAAAAGATTTAGAAATTTTATTTCAAAATGAATATATAAATGACATTTTATGTAAATTGAAATAGGTTCACAATTGTAATTCAAATATTATTTTTTGAATTAAATAAAATTATATTAGCCTCTATGAAGAAAAGCCTAACATACAACTGAAACAATCTGAAGAATAATAGAGGATCTTGCCTGTATAGTCACTAAAATATAAATACAGAGTGATCAAAGGGTGTGGTATAGTCATGTCTCCAGACATATGAAGAATGGAAAGAAAACTCTAGAAATAGTAATGAAACATATATGAAAATATGTTATATAATAAAGCATGATTTTAACTTGAAAAATATTGCAGGACTCAGCTGAATATTCATCAGGAAGAAAACTCCTTACCTCACACCATATACAAAACTAACATGTCAGATCCACTCTCAATTTACCATTTTCCTTTATAATCCATGAGCCATATGTCATCAGAGAAGCATGTATGTAAGTGTGTATGTATGTATGTATCTATCATCTCTCTCTCTCTCTCTGTTTATATATTAAATATAGGCTTTGATGTCAGACAGCCATGTGTTCAAATTCCAGATTTTTTTTTTTTGTATGAACTAGGAAAAGTTATTTAAGTCCTCCAACCTAGTTCTTTCAACTGCATAGAGGGATAATAATGCTTATATCACATGATGTTTGAAAAGATTAAATACTATAACATCGCTAAATTATAATTGGTTTTGGCAGAGAAATTACAATCAATAAAAATCATTTTACTCTACCTCTTCCCTAGAATAGCTTAATCTAATTGTAAATTACTCATGATATCTGTCACTATAGTTTTAGGGTATTGCTCACGAGAAGTTCTCCTTCTAATTCCAGCAGCTTCTAGTACCTTTGCCTTTGTTGTCATACTGACCACCACCCCAAGACAACCTCCAAATGCAGACGTACATTGATCTGAGTTTCTGGGCAAATCTTTATTTCTTGCTTTTTAGTGCCCTTCTGTGCCACCAAAATACAGGAACTGAGGATCTCCCACATTCCTAAAAGAATAAAAGAAGCAGCTAAACTTTTTTTCTCTTAAATTCAAGTTGTTCTGACTCAAGTAAATGAGATGTACACTGAGGCTCCTGATACGAGATTCCAGTGAGCAGAGGTCAGGACTGTCCCCACCTTGCTGCTCATGTCATTGCCAAAAGCATTATTCAGCTCACTTTTGGTTCCAAAAAGCATACAGTAAAATAAATTCCAACAAGTTTGAACTCCTCAAGTTAGGCAATGTTTGAGCATGTCATTTCTCAACAGCTAAGTTAATATTTTCTTGCCCTGAAATAAAAAAAACTTTTCACTGATCCAAATGCTAACGTAGACTCAACTTGCTCATCATCATAAGCAGAGTAAATTGGTGCAAGCTTAAACAAGGTACAAAGCACATGGGTTTACCAGCCATATTTTCACCTTTGGATAATAAATGCGAATTGCTGGAAGTGAAGACATTATTTATACACCACACTTCTTAACAGGGTTAGAAGCTTGTACAGTTCAGGAAGAATTTCAGTGGAAATTGTCAATGCTACTTATAAGACCCTGACATATTATTGTTTCAGAGATGATAAAATAATGGGTTTGGTCTGGTAACTGCTTTGTAAAACTGGAATCGAGTTCCTGAAAATACTTGCTTCAGAAATATTCTTGGAATATTCTATTCAAAATACTTGCTTCAGAAATATTCTAATTTACAATTTGTATAGAAAGAATGAGGCTTCAGTTCAGCTTAGTACAGAGAAAGTGCACTTTATTTTTGCTTCCTGGCTGAAGGATCGAGGGCTACTGCATGTTGTGGCATTTTCTTTCTCCTGAACGCTCTTGGACGTACAGAAATAGAGCTTCCTTCCCATCCTCACCTAGCTCACATTGAGCTTGTAGTAAGAGCAAGAAATAAACCTTTCATTTCATAACCAGAAGAGTTAAATAAGCTATGTACTAACACAGAGAGTTTGGTAGTACATATCTAATTTAACCTATCTTACCTTGTCTGATAATTCTACTTATGCCAGTCACTTAAATGCTTCTATAATCAATATCTTAATTTACTAGGTTGAATTTTAAGAAACTGCTGGTTTGAAAAATTATAAATATATAAGATAAGGGATGTGTTAATTCACTTGATGGTGGCAATCATTTTACAATGGATATATCAAAGCATCATATTGTATACCATAAACACATACGATTTTTAGTTGTTAATTATACCTTAATAAAGCTGGAGAAAAGTGTTGGTTTCAGTCCAAAAACAGTCGAATAGAAGCATGCATATTTTTATTTGCTAGAAATTGTGATTTATGCACAATTTTGCATTTGTTTCTATAATTAACATTCTAAATATTTTTCACATTACTGCATACTTTTTTATTTTAATGACTTTAGATCTGCTTTTATAGATTAATTAATTT